ACCAAATTTGGTGGAGCCATGGGTGCCTGTTAGATCTCCCAGAGTTGGCAATTCCATATGGGAGCTTCCGAAAATTAGGGGTACCTTATTTGAGGGCTCCTTATAATAAGGATCCTACTATTTAGGGTACAAGATTAAGGTCCCCTATTCGGAAACCCCCATATGCTAACAGTGAACAGGACGTAAAAGGTCAGCGTTTGCAGAGGGAAGGGGAGTAGGACCAGGGCAGGATGTCGGCTTGTGCAAGGTCTGAGATCTGAGGTTTCGGTTTAGGGTTTAGGGTTTAGGGTTTAGGGTTTAGGGTTTAGGGTTTAGGGTTTAGGGCTGAAACATCGAGGAACCAAGGAATAACATGCCTATGTGTATGCAGTATTTTTCTGTCGAGCGCAGGAGGGCTCCCAACAGGCTTGTGAGATTGCAAAAAACACGAGTAGAGGTACACCGGGACAGTGAGACAAGTTCAGCAGTCATGGAGGATCCATTATCTTCAAGATATTTATCGCTGCAATGAGTAAACGGAAATGGAAAACTTGGCACCACACTTCCCAAGCAACAATGACAGTACAGAAGCCCGCAAGCCCCGGACGAATTGCTCCATGTTGCCCTGCTCTAAGCCATCTACTCAAGGACAGGGTTTAAGCTCTAGGGTTTAGGGCCCAAGGGTCCAGGTCTCAAGAACTCTGAACCCCAAGCCCTCGACGTCACAGAGCGCAAAGGTAATTCGGGGAGTAGGGCGGTCGGGGAGTTCACGGGTTTATGGCTGAAGATTGGTATCGGGGTTTGGGTTTATTGAGCTTGAGTTTGAATGGGCAGCCTAACGAAGGGCCTAAATACAGTATGTTATACTATAAGTATTATAAGGAACCCCCAAGACCCTGGTCTAATTATTAAGGCCGCTGCATTAGGCAACCTACTTGGAGGGTCGGGGGACTTAGTAACTGGTTATTTGAGGGACGCATAAGTACCATAACCCCAACTAGGGTCCATTTTAGGGTACTTATAAGTCTACTTACTACCTACTTACTAAGTCCCCATGAGTCCCCCGACCCTCCAAGCAACGTATTCAGCTTCCCAATTTCGGCCTCGAAGGGCACAAGGCAGAGGAGATCATCTTTCTCCACCTCGGCGTTGGCACCTTTGCTTGCCGAATGCAGATTTACGGCTTCGAGCGTGAATGGGCTGGGGTCTGGTTTTCAATTAAAGCGGCGGTTGACGACAACTTCGGATGTCAGGTCGTCGCTGCTCATTACGCGGAGGGACTAAGTTTAGGCGAGACGGTCGCAGTTTGGTTCTCTCGCTCAATGCGGCCAGAATTATGTCATTTGATACATGTTAAACATGTATATCATGTATAACATGTATATTTAAAATGTTTATATACAGCAGCAGCTGCGCTAGATTTCGAACTATCCGCGAGGACTTCTGAGGAATCTTACGGTGCAGCATTCGACGAGGCCGCAGTAGATGAAGGGTCCACGCATCCGAAAAAAAGGTTCACTAGGATTCGCGGATTGCAATCGAATATGTGGGTCCGGCACCCGAGAGATGCACGGTGCCATCCCAAAACCCCAATTCACCCGATTCACCCCGCCCTTAGTCGAGCGGATCAATGTAAACCCCCAATCAACAATCTCCATCTTTAGGGGCAATCCACTCGCCAGCGAGAAAACCCAAAAGCAGCAAGAATTGAACCTGCCAAGAGCGAGTCCTAAAGAGCGGCTGATTCAGGAGCCTTAATGGTGTAGACCCCTCATTAACACGCCCCTCCCATAAAACTAATTATATACAACAGTGAGTTCCATATTAAGCCCCTTAAAGAAAGAGGGTTATCATGCCACAAGATAGCTTTGAACTCTAATCTAATGATGCTTTCACCAGCTCGATACCAAGACCCGAGCGAACCCGACGCGCACAACAAAACACTGATACAACTATAGACCTCCATGATATCCCTGTATTGAATACTTTGGCCTGTACTTTGAACCCTTGTATTGTTCCAGTGCAAAAAGACCCGACATTGAAGCCCAACCCCTAAACCCAGAATACTTGATTACAGTAAAGCTCGAAGCCCTAGGCACTTAACCTTCGAACAGAATCGACAGCCAGACATCTGATCAGGATCTTAAATTCTAAACATCCCAAGGCTCGAACGCCTCGGCCAGACGCCGTGGGGGCGTAGAAATCGAGTCCTCTTCGGACTCAGCTTCGTCAAGGATTCTACAAGGGATGTTTTTATGGGCACTATAAAACGTTCAGGGCTTGTTCTTGCAAGGCTGTCACGGTTTGTTGATGCATCAAAAACCCGCATAGCTAGTCCTTATAGAGGTTTTTTTTGACTTTAGGCCGATCGGGTTCTGGGGTTCGGAATTTAGGGTGTCCGGCGCCGTGTCGTTCGTACTGCAGCACTTCTCAAAAGTATCCCTGGATACACTTGTCATGTGACCTCCGGTAGTTGGATAATGAACCCTAAACCTCAGTAGACATCCTGTGCTCCATATTACTGCAGCTACAGAGCGCCTGCAAAACACTAGGAGTAATTACTGGAATCTCTGAAAGGATGTGCTCGAGGCAAAACTTAACAACTCATTCCAGGGTTGAAACATAAATACCCGAAAAACTTAAAGCTTGAGCAGAAGTCTATGTTCAACAATATCAAAAGTAGGGTTATATAGCACAAGATGTTATTACCAATAATGACAACACCAATCATCGTCATCATCATCGTCAACATCATCATCATACCAAAGATACAGCAGCAGAAGTGACAATAGATCAGTAATGATAGTTATGTGGGGTGCAGACTGATTATAAGTTTCGTGCTGCCGCTACAGCTTGAACTGTTGAGCCGCCAGGGGAACCACCATCCCCGTCCTTCTCCTCAACCACATCATAGCAATGATCATTAGCAGGGTAGTTCTAAAATTTGGGGTCCTTGTTATGACTATGTCGCACTATTTTCTGCTAAATTACTCAGCAGCATCTCCTTCGTCGTCTTCAAAAACACCTTCGAAGGCAAGATCGCAGTATCATCATCTTTCCATCCTCCTTCCAGTACCTATCATCTGCTCTTAGTGGGATGGTCGTTTAAAGCCTCTGACATGTGGTCGTAACCCAAGCCGCCTTAAACTGAAACCCTAACAAAGAAATATCTAAGACTCCCGAGGCCTACTTTCGGGGCCTTAATCATTAGAATCGGGGTTTGGTGCCTTAGTATACTATACTTATGATAGAGAACACCCAAAACAGTGTTGGTAATTATTTAGGCCCCTATATAACCAAGTTTCACTGCGAGGAAGCAGGGGCCGGCCTGGGCTAAACACGATGCCACGGCCAGCAGCCCAAGATAGCAGCCGATCCGACATCACTAAGCTCCAGATCGGGACGCCCCAAGTCGGCGTCTAAGAGTTTAGGGTTTAGGCTTAGGGTTGTAGGGGTGCCGCGCCTGTGAGATTCCTACGGCTTTCGCTTGAAGCTCCAGCCCATGGTTGGCACGAGGGATTCCGGACAGCACCACTGAAGCCGAAGTTAGAAATCTTATCATCCGTATAAACCCACAGCTTCTACAGCCAGGGTTTTCGGGTTTGGGGTATAGGCACCCTAAAGCATGGCTGAAAACTTAGTGTGCCATTACCCCACGTGCCTGTCGAGCCAAAGATGACTTCGAAAGGAAGCCAATAGCTGAGGGAGGGATTTCCGAGCGGCCCTTCGGGCTTCAGGGCTTTCAGGCTCCTAAGCCCTAAACCCCAAATAGGCCTTTCAGGCTCCTAAGCCCTAAACCCCAAATAGGCCTTTCAGGCTCCTCTAAACACTTAATAAGGCCTTTAAGGCTCCTTAACCCTAAACACTTAATTAAGGCCTTTCAGGCTCCTAAGACCTAAACCCTTAAGGCCTTTAAGGCTCCTAAAACCCCCAAACCCTTAAGCGCTTTGAGCTACTAAAACCCTAAGCCCCTGAAAGCTTGGGCTTAGCCTGTAAGGTGCAGGGTTGATAAAGCTCTGAGGACCTTCGAAGCTCTGGCCGCCACCAACAGGGCATGTCCAGAGTTCTGGTACAAACATACTGGTCCAGCATGATAGGGACTAAAGGTCTGGGTTGTATAAGGATTGCAGTATCCAGGGCCTTGACATGAATGTTCATTCAGGACCCGAAAGGCGACATGTGAGATTGAAGATGGGTCGAAACAATATCAGTGGCTCGAATTACATACTTTCGGAGCTGCTCTGCATACCACATGAGTGAGGGTCTTTACCTGCAGCTTATTTGCAGCATTCAGGGTTACAGCTATGCCTGACATTAAGTTCAGCACTTGGGTCACGAGCTTGCACGAAACATGCATGCGAAGGTGGCACGTGGACTAACAGCTGAGAGCCTGCCAGATCTCAACAATTAGTTATATCTTTAGTAGGAACAAATGACTCATGAGAATGCACGAGCCACTATAGTAACAGTTGCATGTTAGGGGAAATATACTCAGCAGAACAAAGCAGGACACTCACTCAGGCCCTTCAAAAATGCCGTCAAGCTCACCTAATCTATACAGCCGCCCTGCATCAAGCCTTGAATTCCTAAAGCCCTTGTTCTTGTGAACTCTCGGCCACCGACTGAGCAAGTTTAAGGTGGAGTTGCTTGACAAAAATCAGCGCCACCAGCCCTGTTTCCCGCTCAACGTAGACGTTCTAGTTTTCTTTCGAAAGCCCCTCTAGTCCCAACTAAAACCCAGCCCAACGCTAAACCCTTTAAGGATCCCCGTAAAGGGTCACTCAAAGGAGCCCCCAAATGATCTGTTAAAGGAGCCCTTAGCAGGGCTTGCTATTACCCTCCACCCTAAACTCCTAAACCCCTGGATCCCTAAGTCCCCAAACTCAAAACCCTAAGACCCTAAGACCCTAAACCCTAAACTTTAAACCCTAAACCCCAAACCCTGAACTCTAAACCCTAAACCCTAAGCCCCTAAAACCCCTAACACCCCTAAACCCTATGAACCTGGATTCTCCGTGCGCCTTGTGTGCTGCCTCGGGCTTCTTCTTCCGGGCTGCCTTGGGAGAATCGGCTTCGCTGTCGTCCTCGGATACGACTTGTTGCTTGGAGGGTCGGGGGACTTAGTAAGTAGGTAGTAAGTAGACCTATAAGTACCCCAAAAGGGACCCTAATTGGGGTCATGGTACTTAAACCCTAAACCCTAAACCCTAAACCCTATAAATCCCTAAAATAGCCAGTTACTGAGTCCCCCGACCCTGCAAGAGGGGGGTTCCTTGAAAGGTTCCTGTTAAGGGCCTCTTTAAGGGGTTCCGTTTTTTAGGGATACTATAAGGGATCCTACATCGTGGGTTTAGGGTTTTAGGGTCTTAGGTCTTAAGGCTTTAGGGTTTTTAGAGCTTCAGGGGTTTAGAGTCTTAGAATTTTAGGTTTTTAGGGGTTTACTTTTTGTTATTATGGTTTAGGGTTTGGGCTTTAGTGGTTTAGGGTTTAGAGATTTTGGGCAAGTTTAGGGTTTTCGATGTGTCGTTGTTCGGGTATTGCGAAGCTTTGGCCATTCACAGAAAACCCAATACCCCTCAATTGAAATGGAAGGGGCCTGAATACCGGTTAAAGCATATTCCTTAATTAAGGGGTATTGGGCCCTTTGTTCGGGTCTAGGATTGGTATCCATGGATTTCCGGGGCCAGGTCTGATAGCCTCAACGGCAAGCCAAATACACAGACTGTGGAGCCTAGGCAATGGAAGCTGGCGGTGTCGCTGCCGGAAACTTCAAGGTCCCTTTCAAGGGATCTATAGGGATTCTATAAGGGTTGAGGGTTTAGGGCAACTTGGAGGTTCATGGGTAGCTATAAGTGGGGTTATGATAGGGAAACTATACTTATAACTCATAATAGGGGACTTAAAACCCTACTTGTTACTAAGCCCCTTTTGGAATGGAATACCTTAAAGGGTGCCCTTATAGATCTCTTTAGAGGAACCCCAGGATTTATATCATCAACCGTATGACTACACTTATAAGCACCATAACCCCAATTAGGGTCCCTGCTAGGCTACTTGTAAGCCTACATGCTACCTACGTACTAAGTCCCCCGACTTGGAGGGTTGGGGGACTTAGTAAGTAGGTAGTAAGTAGACTTATAAGTACCCTAAAAGGGACCCTAATTGTTATGGTACTTATAAGTCCCTAAAATAACCAGTTACTAAGTCCCCCGACCCTCCAAGTACAGGAGCCCCACACTTCGTCACGACAGTCAGCTAGGATACCCAGTAACCTAAAAGTACAAAGGCCTCTCTTTTTGGTATTGGGTAACTTTATGAGGAACCTAGGACTACAAAAAGGGAATAAGGGTACTACTGGAGATCATAGTCAGTTATAAGTGTTTTATAGGATCCTCAAGAAAACCCTAACCACTAAACCCTAACCTTTACACCCTAAAACCCCTTCACAGTTTTCGGTTTCAATGCCGGCTTTCAGGGAAGGAGCCGTTACAGCACTGACGCCGCTGACGAAGCTCTCGCCAGTCTGACCTCGCGAGGTGATCACTTTTGCTTGGTTTTTGAGTGGTTTTAGAAGGCTCCCTTTCAGGGATCCTTTACAGGGACAGGATCCTATAATAGGACCCTTTAAAGGGATCCATAGGGTAGTAGCAATGTAGTATAGTACTCATGCAGTAGTACAGTAATACTACCGTAGTAGTACAGTCATAGTACGCTATGGTCAGGGTTTAGTGTTTAGGGTCTGGGATTTTGGGTGCGGAGTTTGGATTTTTGAACGTTTTTGAACGGCTCCCTTTAAGGGATCCCTTAAATGGATCCTACAATAGAAGGGATAATAGATAGTGGGTAGGGTTTGGGGTTTTGGGGTTTAGGTGATTGGGTGCTGTCATTGGGATTTGCGGTGCAGGCCGTGGGGTGGATTTAGGTACCGGGTACGAGGGTTCAGGATTTGTGGACTTTATTCAGCGACTGATGCCCCAAACCGCGCTGGTGTTTTTGGGACGTTGAGCTCGGATCTCCCTTGTGACCTAAAACCGCCCAAACCAAACTGACGAAGCACCTTGGCGACTGGGCGAGAGAATCGGAGCAAGCATGCCAGGCATATCCTTCACACGAAACGCATGAGCATCATGCAAACCCTCAGCCCTAAACCTAAATCCTCGCCACTAAGAACCGTAAGCTGTAAGCCTGGATGAACCTAAATCATAGGGACAATTGCGGGGGGGGGGGGGGGGGGGGGGGGGGGGGGGGGGGGGCCTGAATGCCCATAATAAGGACCTATTAAGGCCTATCTAGGAAGTATAGTCCCCCACCCCCGTCCCCCTTACCCCCCTAAGGGTCCCTATGTTTAAAAAAACAGAGAGCTCGGGAAGTGGCCCATATCTTCAGTTCCCCCACCGGCAGCTTTCTTCTTCCCTGGCAGGAGTGAGGCTCCAGGGTGTACTTGGAAAATCTGGGACTTCGTAGGTACGGTTGAAAGTGCTCTAACCCGGGGGCAGTTCGTATCTATACTTATGATTACCTTACAGGTTGAGAGTATATACTTTCACTGCGCTTAGTAAGTATTTATAGTGATGATTACCTTATCTCAAAATCCCCAAACCTCATTTTTTAAGCCGAGTTGCTGGGTCACACGAGCAGTTAAGTGAAGCTTCGGGTTCCAGGTCTTGGCGCTTGTCGTTGAGGTGTTTTCGGGGGTTAGGGCTTTAGGGTTTAGGGCTTAGGGTTTAGGGTTGGGGGTGTTGGCTGCAAGGCTGCGGTTTAAGGTTTACTCGGGATGTGGTGCAGGGAAATTGAAGTGCGACTGGGGGAAACCGTATGTATGCATTTAAATAGGTATGCACATGTGTATGTACATGTACAGGAACATGCAGGTGTACATGCACCATTTGATTTGCCATGCATTGAATTCGCAGCCCTCCTGTGTCTGCTGCCGTCAAGCTCATCTGAACATGCACTGGTACCAGAACTACGGTCCCTAGCTTTCTAGTGGTCATTACCATATTGCCTGTCGATAGCAAGCCGTTTCTGATGTCTACGAACCACCTCTTGCTACCGACCCGAACTCTCAAAAGCAGAATCCAAAGAGCAAAATTTAAAGCCCTGAACTCCACCCCTCCCCCCAAAATTGAAGAGCTCCTTTAAAAGCTCAAACATGAAAAACACATCAGAGCCGCGAGTCTCATAAACTCCTTTGAAAACCTTTGCAGTAACCCGTAAACTAACCCTTGAATGAATCCGAAACACGCACTTTAAGCACACTTTTTGGAACCCTTCGAGGATGCCCCTACAGGAGCCTGTAATGGGAACCCTTACAGGAACCCAAAGCGCTTGTGCCTGACTTCTTCTTGGGAGCTTTGCTGCTGGGAGTCTTCCTGCCGGCTTCAGACTCCCCTTCCACATCGTCCTGAAGTTGATGGGCTTTAGGGATTAGGTGTTAGGGCTTTAGGGTTTAGGGTTTAGGATTTCGGATTTGGGGTTTAGGGTATAGGATTTAGGGTTTAGGGCTTAGGATTTAGGGTTTAGGGCGTAGGATTTCGGGGTTAGGGCTTAGGGTGTACAGTGTAGAGCCTTCGTCCTGAAGTTGATGGACTTTCAGGTTTCGGATTTACTTGGAGGGTCGGGGGACTTAGCAAGGGCTCCTTTAAAGGGGATTCTAAGGGTTCCTTTAAAGGGCTCTATAAGGGGGTTATAGGGTTTAGGGTTCAGGGACTTAGTAACTGGTTGTTTTAGGGACTTATAAGTACCATAACCCCAATTAGGGTCCCCTTTAGGGTACTTATACGTCTACTTACTACCTACTTACTAAGTCCCCCGACCCTCCAAGTAGGGTTTAGGGCTTAGGGTGTGCTCTTTCGCTTTTCTTGAGGATCCACATGACTATATTGATCTAAACAACATCCGCCCGGACCTTACCAGGGGTTCCTGAGCCGTTCTCACATATGTGTTTTAGGGCCAAAGTCTTCACCATATGCATGCATGTAAGGGCCGCAGTATTAGGAGCCCTGCTATACACTTTGTCCAGGGAGGGAGGGTTTAAATGAACAGCATGTACTTAAATTTCGTTCGCTGCACTGTGAAGCTCCACCTTGATGCCTCAACCCTTTCATCCCCAGCGCTGCTCTCATAATCGCAAAGCCTGTAGACCTTGAGCCCTAAATCCATATCCCTTACCCCTATCGAACCCTTGTAGTAAGATCCTGTATAGTATAGGACATTAAACCATACACCCTGAACCCCACGCCCTGCATCCTGAATCCCCAAATCCTCAACCCCAAATCCCTGAAGCCTTTAGGGTTTAGGGTTTAGGGTTTCAAACCCTTGACTTCGGCCCTGAAGCCCCAAAACTCCTAAAACCCCTAAGCCCTCACCCTAGACTTCGACCCTAAATCCTTCAATCCGAAAGCCTTTCCGCCAAACACAGAACCATAGCTCGGTGCCGGACAAGAGATCCGGTCTTGGATCCTGTTTCAGCTCCCTGCCCAGTGGACGCAGGTCATTGAAGAAAGGGTCCTAGAATAGGAGGTTCTGAGGTCAGTACTGAAATTTCATGGAAAAGCTCCATAGACTTGTCTGATGCTTTAGCATAAGTAGGAGCCTTGGATAACAGGGATTCAGAAGGCAGCCCCTATCCGACCTTGCGCGCCTTTGCCCTAGAGTAATATTTTGGGCTTGCTGACACGTCCTTGCAAGCTACTCAAACGGAGGGCTCGAAGCCGTAAGGTGTAGGGTTGTGCTCTTGTGCACTCTGAACCCCAAACCCATCTATGGAGGAACAGTCGAAATCGTCCGGCATCCCATGAGCCCACTTACAAGGACGCTCGCATTGAATGCTAAACCCGGTGCAAGCTTCCGCTAGGGTTTAGGATTCAGGAATTAGAGTTTAGGGTTTAATTAGGACTGAAAAGGGTCTAGGAATTAGGGTTTAGGGTTTGGGAAGTGGGGTTCAGGAATTAGGAATGAGGAGTTTAGGGTGTGGGGCGTCGTGCATCTGGCTTGTGTGAGTTTTGGGAGGTTGTCACTGCCTCGCACAGCTTCGAAACTTCGGCTAGCAACACTCACAAAGGCGCACCACAAGGACCATTTTGCAGGTGGGGTGTCGAGGGCTTCTTCGAACATGATCTGGAACCTTAAAGCTTGAGGAGGAACACGATAGCTTTAGGCCGCTTTCCTGGGTGCCTACTGTCTTCATGGCTGCAAGAGACCGGATCTGCTCAGTCAGAGGCCTTACCGAGAGCCAAAGTCGTTTCAGATGGTTGGGGGATTGGGGAGGGGGACGGGGCTGGCTTAGTGTTTGGGGTCTGAGAGAAGCTTCAGAAGCTGCTCTGTCCACTTTCGGGGGCTGGGGATGGTTCCCTGACCCCGAAACCCTAAATTCAAGACTCAAAACCGTAGAGGGATTGGACGCATCTTTTTGCCGGGATGGGTCCCCTGCAGCCGGTAACTTGCACCGCTTCGATTCGAACAAGCTATCACTTGCTCGGGAACAAACTCTTTGATTAAGATCGTACATCGTACAAGAGTCTTAAAGCATGCAAAGCAGGAAATGGTCCGATAAGGGACCACAAAATGTTCACCACTTCTGGGTGTCAGGAGGGCGATGGGCCGAAGATAAGGTTGGAACAAGTTCCGCAACTCCATGCCATTCTCCGCCTGCAGCATCGAAGTCGGATGGGCTGTAGGATGCCATACTGTCTTTGAGATAGCTGACATGTTTGGGATGTCTGTCCTACTTCGCCGGGATATCGGACTGCCAGCGAGCTCATTCGAAGCACAAGCATGTCTATGTGTCAGAGCTGTAACAAAAAGATTCGGGGTTCTGGGCTCAGGAAAGCCCATTAAGCTGACACCCAAACGTCAGACCGCCAACACCGAAGCTGGGCATCGCACCCCCTGAACTCTCGACCCTGACTCGAGATCCATACCGCCGGGTGTAGACGTCTGCTTAATCAACCTCATTTCTTTAGAGACGGGCGTTGTTTATGAGGTGTCACAAGCTGACAAACGCGTCCCTAATGCACTAGTACTCCCAGTGTGCGGTTTAGGGTCTGGGTTTACGGCGTACTTGGTACTTGTTCTTCTTTCCGATGGTTCTACCTGTCTGATTCATCTGTCATTACCAACGGCTAAACCCATATTGATGCAACTATGCAGTCCCCTAGCCCTGTAAAGAAGCACTTCCTCATATCTGCGCATACGCTAACCACGCCAAACCCCAAACCCAGAACCTCATCGCCCTGATTGCTCATAAATGCCCCAACCCCGTGTGAACCTCTGTGAAACCATGTAGTCACCCTGTGGAACCAAAGAAGGAACTCGTACAGAAACCCGATAAGCCCTGAACCTGTAAATCCCGAATGCTTAAACTCTAAACCCTTAAACCCGACACCCCTACACCCTAAACCCCTGAACCTTAAACTCAACTCTTAAGCCCTTAAACCCTTAAACCCCTGAACCCTAAACCCCCAAACCCCTAAAGGCCAGGAATCTCCCGGCTCTGTAGTCGAGTTCTGGCACCCGCTCGCTTCACGCAGCGTCGGCAGCGACGGTGTCGACCTGGTGTAGGAGTTAAGGGTTCAGGATTTAGGGTTTTGGATGCATTTAATTATCTTGTTTATGAAGGGTTCTCTGCTTACAAAGGGTCCGTGATGCTCTAGGCGTTTATGGTCTGGGGCTTAGGACACTGCCGCAAACATGAAGCCCTAAACTTCAAACGCTCCAAACCCTAAGCCTAAGAAGCCTCAGGCCCTGAACCTGAAACCCTAGACCCTGGCCAAAATCTTTAGGGCCCAAACAGGTTCGGCTAGGGTTTAGGGCTTATAGTCAACGCTGGGAATGCCGGGCACCCCTAACTCCAAATCCACACCCGTTTTCCCATGCTCCTGCAAAAGAGCCCTTAACCCTTGCAGTTGCCTGCCGAACCGCTCAACCCCTAAATTCAGTAAACGCCTGTTACTACAACCACACTGTACAGTTTAGGACCTACCTCCCGTCTCCTCTGGAGTTCCTTAATTGTTGGCTGCCTTTTCGGATCCTAAATCCTAAACATGCAAACTAAAGGCCACAGCAACGCACCCTCAAGCCTCGAATCTAATCCCTGACGCTTGTTCTTCCTTGGGCTGCCCTCATCCTTCCTTTGATGTTTCAGTCGTGTCAGCGATAAAAGCCACTGATAACATAGAAAGTCATTACCTACCCCCACCCCCAAAAAAAAAGGTAGGTAAAACAATGGCCCAATACTTGACACACACCCCTAAACACTGAAGCCAAATCCTCAATCGGCTAATCGGCCCTGAACTCTTGAACCCTAGAAAGGCTAAACACTGAGCCCTACACCCCTACACCCCTAAACCTCTAAACCCGAAAACTCCTAAAGCCCGAAACCCCTAAAGCCCAAACCCCTACAGCCCTGAACCCCTAGAGCCCTAAACCCACCCGTAAGTAGAGGCCGGGGCCCGCGCCGTAGCCGACTTTCGCAAACCAAAGCACCGCTCAACGTCGAAGATCTTCGACTTCGGTGCCTGCTGAAGTGAAGCGTTGGGTTTAAGGGCTAGGGGTTGAGGGTTTAGGGTCAGGCATTTTGGGTTCAAGCTGCCAAAAGAAACAGGCATCTAGTGCTTTAGGGTAAAGAGTCATGACATAGTTGGGAGGGGGGGGAGGTGGTGGGGCGTTTTCGGCTTGATGCTTAGATTCTGGGTGCAGGTTGTAGGCTTAGTACATAGACTTTGGGGTTATAAATATAGTCATATATCCTGCTGATAACTCCGCTGATAGCCAGCCCTAAACCCTAAATCCTAAACCCTACAAAACCCTATAGAACCCTATAGAACCCTTAGACGAACCTTACAACTCCACTTAGGGTTCTGAGTAGACACGGAGCCGACTGGAATCATGGGTTCCGGGCACATCGTACTGACAAAAACAGCTGTACAGGAGCATGGAGGAACAATCTTCTCTTAAAGGCCTTAGGGTTCGGGTTTCCCTTGGTTTCGGTTTCGGGTTTAGGGTTTGGGGTTTCGGGTTTAGGCTCCAACAGATTACAGGCTAATGGGCTGCATGCTTTGCACTGACGAAGCTCCTCATTTAAGTAGATTCACACGTGAGGGGTCGAGGCCTGACATGTTGTTTGTGTTGTTCCAGGCGTAGCTTTACACAAAAGTGCAGGATTTGGTGTGTTAGCCGTAGTTTTAGGCTCCAGGGCTGGCGAGTTCCTTGGTCTGAAAGCCAGCCACGACAATGAGCCTCATGTCTCCCTTGCTCTAAACCAAACCACCAAGGTTTAGCAATCTAAACCAGGGTTTAGGATTTAGGATAAGCTCGTGGAGAGCCCCACCGCCCTGAAACACAAGGGTCTACATGAAAAGCAACTGGCCTTTGACGGAATAACCTCAAAAGCTCGGTAAACCCAAAGCCCTCGAGCTCTGAACATTTATGGCCCTAATGGGTGTCTCTGCTGTGCACCTCGGAGCCCTCGCTCTCATAGAAGAGGGCGTACTGCCTGTAGTAGGTTCTTCTTCAAAGGAACTAATGTACAGCTCCCGTCATGGGGATATAGTTGTCGTGTAGCGTAAAAACATCCATCTCTTTTTTCTTGGATATCTACTCATACAGAAAACTCATACGGGCATCGGGAACTTCTTTAAAGCCCTAGGAAATCCTTGCAAGACCTCCAAATCAGGTGAAGTTGCTCTCAAGACGGTGGGGTCCGGGATTCAGCCCTATCTATAGTCTCCATTGTAGTTCCTTTTTTTGGTTTTTTCAATTATATACTAAGGATCCTATAAGGTAACCCCAAAATGGAACTACAATGGAGACTATAGGTAAATCCTAAATCCAAAAACCCTGAGCCGCAGTTCCAGCTTAGCTTGGAGAACTGTGGACTTCGAGTTGTGTAGTTTGGAGCTTCCAAGCCCTAAGGCGTATAGGGGGGTTTAGGGTTTAGGGTTTAGGGTTTAGGGTTTAGGGCATACCTGGACCCTAAAGAACCTACCTTTTCGGGTTCCCTGTTCTGATGTCTCCATAAAAGCCCTGCAGCTATTTGGTGTCTGGGTAGGGCTTACGGCTTAAGGATCTGGGGTTAAGCCTGCGGGCTCAGGGTCCAACACTCGCCTAAACTTCCGGAAAGCACATATCTCGACATTCACACGGAAGGCTACGTCTTGTCAACTTTGTAAGCAGTACATGAAGTGGCTCATATTATGTCGTCTTGAAGTACCGCAGCGCCTGAACGCCTTAAAGTTGTGATTAGCTGCACCGCAGTTGAATCTCAACAATCGGCTCATGCTAGATGGCGGTCTCATCGAGAGTTTGGGTGTTTATCGGCTTGCTCTTGCTCAAGCGTCTTCACTCCGGTCTCATTCGGCAATCCGAAAACCCCACCTCCCAGCTCTCAACCGCAAAGTCCACTGCTTGAACCGTACGTATTGGCCCGAGAGCTCATCCCCAACCAAGTCCTAAGACGCTTCGAGCCTATGGTAA